ATGCATTTGATTTCTCGATTAGTTTTTTCTTTTGAAACGGGCGGTTTTCTATCACCGGGTTACTCTAATTTATGTCTAGAATTGTCAAAAAGCACCTTTGCTCTGTCCGCCAATTATTCAGCGCTACTCATGTTATGCAACACGCTTCTAAGCTGGATCTCTAATTAGCTATGGAGGCGAAAGTTTGCTTCATCATTAATGTGTTTTCTTGCAGTAATTGTGTTATTGTGTATTAGTTATCAGGACTTAGAACTCTTGGCGGTACGCGTGACGGACTGATACTTGCTGACAAATGAACTTATTTTAATTGAAAATATTTGCTTCTGCTAGAACGGTTTCATGGATGCCGGACAACGTAAACGCGCCAGTGATACGTCCTGGACCCATGCGGGATTCGTGAGATCGGCGCTATGGCTGTTACCGTTTCTCAGCCTCCTACTCATCTTGACCGTCATTCTCGAGCAAAAACCGAGGACACAAGTGCCCCTGGTGGTCATTAGCCTGGATGGCTTCCGTCATGACTATATAGAAATCGTAAAGCGGCGCTTTGGACATATTAGTCTGCCGAACTTTGACCGTTTAATGCGCGAGGGAGTGCGAGCCATGCGCTGTATCAATGTGTTCCCCACGAGTACCCTACCCAACCATCAGACACTGGTGACCGGACTGTACCCCCAACACCACGGAGTTACCGCGAACACAATGTTCGATGAGCGTCTTCCTGGCCATGTTCTTTCCATGCTCAATGACACCAGTCTCAGCGAGGATCCCTGGTTGGACGGATGGCCGGAACCCATTTGGCGCACAGCTCAGCGCTACGGAATTCTTACAGGCTCTATGTTGTGGCCAATCACTGATAGACCTGTGGATGGCGATGTGCCGTTTCAGCGTATGTCAAGATTCAAGTACAACGCACCAGGCGAGCTGCATTACCCCAACAAAAGGAGGGTGGATGATGTGATTGCTTGGCTCACTAGTAATCACTATAAATTGGGCCTGGTGCTTGTCTACTTTAGTGATGTTGACGTGAAGGGGCACCTCTTTGGACCGCATAGTGTCCAGGTGAGCGTTCCAGATGTGCATAAGAGCGATAGCCAATGTCACTATTCCAGCTGTCCTCGGTACTCCAATCAACATCCCTACATAACAGTTTGGCCTAACTTCCAATAATTGACTGAATTTCACATAAGAGGGCTGCCGATCCTAGAGTTTACTGCTCGTTGTGCAGCACATTCGTAGGCATATTAGATAAATGAGCCCATGTTTGGACAATAACGGTTTTGTCGCTTTTACGAATTGCGACAGAGTGCTAAAATGTACAATCGTGGAGGGGCGCTCACCGACCGTTCTTAGGGAACTCAATCGATCCGTTTTACCTTACAGACTCTCTCGAGCTCAACCAGCAGCCGCACAGCGGCGCATGTTATAGGCAGAATGTTATTACTGACAAAGACAAGGGAGACTGGAATGACCATTTCTGGCTTATTAGCCGTCGTCAGCCAGTCACACCCAACTCCGAAGTGTGGAGCACCTGGGGCTCGAACTCACGAGCTGTTAGTTAGAAGTCCACGCCTCTAACTATTGGGCCTCGAGCTCGTTGCCCTGTCGGTTTCGATCGGGAATAAGGGATGGTGGAGGGCCTCGAGAGAGAGAGAGCCCGTAAAACACAACGGAGCGAGTGAGGTCCGTAAGAACGATCGGTGAGCGCCCCCCACCATTGTATATCGTCGGTCGAAACCGACAGGACGACGAGCACATGGCTCAGTGGTTAGAGGCGTTGGACTTCTAACTAACAGGTCGTGAGTTCGAGCCCCAGGAGTTCCACACTTCGGGGTTGGGTATGACTGGCTGACGACGGGTAATAAGCCAGAAATAGCCATTCCAGTCTCCCTTGTCTTTGCCGGTAATAACATTCTGGCTAATATGTACACCGCCAAAAATTCCGAGAGCAAAATACGGCTGCTGGGCTTGATACCTCCACTGCAACTGTTTTTTGGTTTGTACTCCATGGGACTAAAATAACCCTATGCTATTCGTTTTTAGTTTTGGTGATCTCTAACAGCAAAAAATAATATGCCGTGGAATAAGTGATTAATTTGGCTGATTATCTACAACTCATTCCTCATCGGGTTCCATTGTCTCCCAACTTCACGATCTCTCAAAAACAGGGCTTTAACTAGAGCCGATATTTGTTTTCAGACAGCTGAAACGATCATTCAGATGGACGGCATACTGGGGTACTTTCTAGACAAGCTTGAACAGTATGACCTCCGCTGGCGTACCAATGTAATTCTCACATCTGACCACGGAATGACCGAAGTTTCGAGAGAACGAATAATTGTGCTCGAAGATCTTGTCAACTCGAGTTGGTACACCTTTCCACAGCTAACACCGATCGGTCTTATTTATCCTATCCCCGGTATGACGGAACATGACGCAACATGACAACTACCACGTTCGTACAGTTGAATGTTGTGGTTCCCCATTTAATCGTTCCTTTTGAATGGCCAAGTTCCAGCTGTTTGACCGGAGATTTTGCAGTTCACTATGTAAACGCCCGCGATAGTTGTTTTTCCTTTGTTCTTATTGTTGACATATGCCAAACTGCGAGTCCCTCTTTTGTGAGTTTTTAGTTAAAGCGCCAGCCTGTGCTGAGCCGCCTCGGCAGGGTATTTTTGTCAAATGTACGTTCTACTGAAATATTCAGAGTAACAGACGTTGATATCAACTTAATTTCCAGTTGGCCATTGCGCACTTCTTTGTGAAGTACCACATAATGCAACAGAATCTGTGAAGGTATGGCCTCTAACAACCAGTCGTTGAATGTGCTTTGCCTCGACGCGAAGCTTTTCGACCGGCCGATTTTTCCAAGGGATTGTCAAAAGACAAGTTAATAGGTGTTTTAGCAGATTTTGAATAATTCATTTTGACCCAACTGTGAAAAACTCGCCTCCTCCGTGGGATTCGAACCCACGACAGCAAGGGGAGGCTTTAGTACAACCAACGCTCTAGCTACCTGAGCTACGAGGCCCCACCGTGAGACGTGAGTTTGATCACATTTGAGTCAAGTTACCCGCCCAACCTACTGCCAAAACATCTGTTAATTATGTGAGCCTTGTAGTCATCTGGTGGATTTTAAACGGAGTAGTTAGGAAATCCTGCTTGGACAGTCAGCTTACTGTATCAGACCTGATGGATTCCAGACGTTGCAATGGGTTGGGCGGGTAACTTGACCAGACTGTGATTAAATTAACGTCCCCCCAGTGGAGCCTCTCAACTCAGGTGGTTAGAACTTTGGCTGAACTAGAGCCCCTCTCGCTATCGTGGGTTAGAATCGCACTGAGATGCCGAGTTTCTCACAGTTGGGTCAAGATGAAAATACGAGTTGCCAGACCGTCATGGCGGCACAATTTCGCTCAATGACGACTTTTCAGCAATAAGGTTTATTAATTGCACCATTTCGTTCTTCCATCGACCTCAACGCTCCTTACGCGTGACACTTAGACTCAGATATCTTGATAGTGTCCGTTGCTAAAATAATGGATTATGCTGATAGACATTTTCTTTTGATACTATCGACTTTTGCTTCATTTTTTTTCCCAGTTTCCCTCGAATTTTCACACCAATAGTTAAAATTATGGATAAGCTTGTCATAAATTATCTTATCTTTGAAGGCCGACATGATGACGTCTACAGGAAATTGAAGGGAGCACACAGACACCTTTCTGTCTACAAACTTCACCAGGTTCCTAAAAGACTGCATTTCAGTCAACCCGGTGTCCGCATGCCACCCATCATCCTAATCGCTGACTTGGGTTGGTTTGTGGTTCAAAGCAGGCCGAAATCATTCTCTGATGTGGGTAAGCCGACTTTGGAAATAAGATAGTATCCTTTATTTGTTCATCGCATGCATTCACCGGTACATTTGAAACTTTTTAGTAATCATTCTTTCCACCGAAGAGACGCGCTGGTTTATTTCTAGTTGAGCACCTAGTTTATTCTGTATTTGTGCAATAGAGGAGCCTGCGTGGAGAACTCGTGACGCCGTCCGCAATCCCTGGATTTTGTTTTTGATATTGAAATTATTGCCTGACAATCTTTAACTTTTGCTCCGAAGGGGCGGGAAGGAAATGCCGCTTAAGGTCTCTTACCACCAAGGATGCCGAGCAAAAAAACATCGGAGGCTGTTTACTTCCCTTGTTTAATTAGACCAGCACGATTTTTCCGTCTGCTTTCCCTGGCGACTGAATGCACCAGCGTGAAGTCTCCTTTGTTCTTCTATCGGCCCTCAGGAAGTTTACAATGACGACCGAATTACAGCAGAAAACGCGATAGATCCAGTCCTTCACATGAGAAATTGGTAGTGGTCGATTTTACGAACCAGGACGTGGACGACATGCCGTTATGAAGAAGCACCCGACAAGATGTCCGCTTTTTACCGTCCCTTGCGATGGTGTTTTGGGGCTATTTTTGTTTGGACCTATGACTTATTGTACTTTTCTGGTTAGTACATGGTCTTCGGTATTTCTCTTGTGTTAGCGGATCAGTATCTCGTAAATGGGAAAAAATACGACGGTAGACACTTTGCTCTACGACTTCTACCCACTCGCCTTTGTAGTGCATTACCTTGTTGTTTTGAATATAATGACACTCCGCGGTAACATCGGGCCGGCCTGGCTGCGAAACAGCCGAACCTGGAGGACGTAGTCCACCGGCAGAGTTTCGGTTCACGGGTGATACTGACGCATCAGACAGACCTTTCCTGCGAACCACTTGCGCTTATGTGTTTCCGGCCACAGGTGCTAGTAGGGTGGGACTAAACACCTGCTGTCCCAGTTCCCCTGGCTTCGCCAGTTTACCGCCCTTGTTGTTTGCCTGGTAGTGGTCGTTTGCTCATGATGCCCGCCAGTAGCCGTCAGAACGTTTTTAAAACAGGCATAAACAACAGGATCCACTGGCACCAACACGTTTTGCGACGGCTTATCAGCTGCATCCTGGCTCTTCATAGCAGGATTAGCGAACAATGAGTACACGCCGGGTTGGATTTGTTCACGCAGTCGATATGAAAACAACAAGCTCATAGCCTACTCTACACTGGTCTAGTTGTATGCACCGGCCAGGTTCCTCCCTCCATATGCCAGCTGCCTCCAAGTAGCGCAGTGTCTGAGTCGCTCATCCACAAACAAGTGTTTGGAGGGCTGTTTTGGGTCAACAGAATGTCCGCGATCGAAACGTCTAGAAATTGAAGAGAAGGGAGGGATTTTCTTCCGTCTCGAAAAGCTGTTTAGGCAAAAGCTCAACCGACGGGGCCGCCAGTTGCCTTTTACCAATGTACTTGCACACATAGGCGTATGTGAGTCCATAAACACTGCTTGCGGCGGCGTAAACATTCTTCGTCCCCTCAGCTGGAAAAGAGATTGCAGGACTGGTAAGTATGATCTGGGCCGGTCTGCTAGTCCTTTCAGTGGTGCATCGCGATCGGCACTTAACAATTTTCGAACTCCTGTCAACCCTAAAAGGCAAGGATATTATGACGAACTTCTTCAGAACTGACTGTTTCGTCAGTTTAAGCGGATTGTCGTAATTCTGAAATAAACGGGCTGGATAACCACGTTTAGCCGGAGCCGCTCTTAGACAAGCAAATTCTGTCTCCGATGTCTCTCTAGAGCACTTTTTGCTGTTTTGAAGCGAATGTGGGGGGGAGGTTTTGTCTTCGCTGTGTCAACACGAATTTCGTGAAATGTACAGTAGCTAGCCTATCTCATGGAATGTTACCCGACATTCCGAAATGTGCTTTCGATTAGAAAGGACTACCTAGGTGGAGCTGTAAGAATGATTATCGTGCAACATGATTCCAAGACACTTCAGTCATGCCAGGATGCCGGCTTTAGAATAGGTTTCTTTCCGGTCGCCCGCAAAAATTACATTCGGTAAAAAATTATCACTTGTAGCATGGATTTTTCTCGTTTTCTTCAATGTCCCTATAAGTTCAAAAACTTTTTTGTAAAAAAATATTGGCTAAAATATTCCTTTTTGTACTCATTTAGTAGCAGGTTACGTCGCTCATAAACTTCACGCTTGAAGAAAGGGCACTTTTCGGTTTCAACTATTTTTTCCGATTTTCGTGTAATTTTGAACCCGACTTGCAGTTCATGTTCCCAAAATCGCTGCCGCATACTCTCCGCATAGGGAAAATGATAAATTTCACTAAGCTTTTAAGAGGACGTCGTACAGGAATCGTGTGATTTTGGGATGAATATGGAGCATGTTGTATACTTTATAAACAGCATCAATAAACGGAGAGCTACGATGCCGCGTGATTGCATATTTCCCGTTCTTAAAAATCCTATAATTGCAAAATATCTCAAAAGCTAAAGGTACCCTTTCTCCAAGTATAAAATTTGCAAAAGACGTAATCAGCAATCCCCTGAGCATAAAAATAATATTTTTTAGTCATGTTTCTTATAAACCGTGTCTGCATATATAAAGGCATGGAAAATCAAATGAGAAAAGTTATGCTACTTAAGAAGCCATTTTATACGAGGTGTGGTTTTTTCAGGCGACCGGAAAGAATCTCATTCAAAAACTGACATCCAGGCGCGACTAAAATATGTTGGGATTGCGTTGCGAGATAATCAGAATTGCAATCTCACCCAGGCTATCCTTTCTAATCGATATTTACCTTGTTTTTATTAAAATTTCATGAGATAGGCCAGTTACTGTAGATACTGATCTTCCTGTATATTCTTGTGGAAAATTGATTAAATCGTCTTCCTGTCCATGCACAAGGACGTCCAGGGAAGCAAGTTTTTTTGCGCCCTTCCAATTGTGAATTTATTCTCGGCATACAGGTTGTTCATACTTGTAAATAAGTGCACATGACCTTTGTCTGGCAATCCCTAATTCCTGTATACGTTAACGTGTGATTATAAGTGACTCGTTTCTGCCACTGTCTCTGATGATGAGTTCAAGTGAGAATCGGAAACGTTGGACAAATGCAGCCCTTGTTCCAGCGATCGCTTCTTCTTCTT